GAGGACTGGGATGTCTGATTAGCCAGAATGGGGACAGACGGAAAACAGGGGCTCTGTCACTCCCTCCAGCTGTCAGATCTAGGGATTCAAAGTTTCATTTCCCAATCCATGACAGAGATTTGGGAGGAAAGGGATCATTGGGGTGGTAGCTGCAGTTTTTACAATATCCTGATCATTTCAAGTGTTCGTAAGTGGGAAAGACTTGCCCAAAAAGACAGTATTTCCAGGCTCCCATCAGTAGCTACTCATTTCCAGGACTGGTCAATGAAATGCTAATGTCATAACATAATTCAGACTATTCTTTAGAGCTTATGTGACCGGCTGCATCAGTATAATTCTTTATAGGTATTTGCTTTGTTGTAATTCACTGCCACTGGAATTGTCTGTACCAAATGGTGAGAATATTTGCCCACCTCACAGTGCTCTTCCATTGGCCAACTTACACAGAGAGACTGTGCCGTGAAACAACTTTCACAGGAAGTAAACCACCTTAGACCCTGAACATGCGTACGCCTAAGTACTTGTGTTAAAAGGAGGCAGTTATTTGAAGAACCATGGTTTTAGCCAGGATGTGGTTCCTTCAACAGGGATTTCAAGCCCCATTCTGGGAACAGAGATGATAAGGAAATACACTTGGGACTTGGAGTCTGAAGGACATAAGTTCAAATTGATGAGGCCACTGCTGAATCGTTAAGTTCACCGAGACTCAGTTTCCTCATGAGTTAAAAGGAAGCTAATGATACCTAGTTCACAAGTTGTCATGGGGCTCGTATGAAATGACATATGTAATGCAGGGGAATAGCATCTAGACCTTACATGACCTAACATGCACAGACGATACATGATAAGACATGTTAGTTCACCCACTCAACCCTGCCCCATCCATTTTCTATCCCAACTTGACTATTAATTATCTGAGAAACCGGGGACAATTCATTCAATCTCTCCAGTCTCCATTTCCACTTCTATCAAATTAGGAGGTGGGACACCATGGCCTCCAAGGTCTCTCCCTGTCTTCATATTCTGTCTGGTTAGTGTCACTGTTATGAGGAATGCTTGTTTTTATACATTTTGGTGCTCCTTCTTTACACTCTGGATCCCTCTTTAAATGTCCAGGGTCAGCTCCTTTTAACTTCTACATTTGGGATTCTATGCCACTGGCTCCATTGGTTTCTTCTACTCTGGTAGTTGAAAGTTGTGTATAGGCCAGAGGCTATTCTAAGAACAGTATTAGCAGCTGGGCGTGGTGGCTCACGCCTGTAATCCCAACACTTGGGGAGGCCTAGGCAGGCGGATCACGAGGTCAAGAGATCGAAACCATCCTGGCCAACATGATGAAACCCTGTCTCTACTAAAAATACAAAAATTATCTGGATGTGGTGACACATGCATGTAGTCCCAGCTACTCGGGAGACTGAGGCAAGAGAATTGCTTGAACCCAGGAGGCAGAGGTTGCAGTCAGCTGAGGTCGCGCCACTGCACTCCAGCCTGGTGGCTGGCAGCAGAGTGAGACTCTGTCTCAAAAAAAATAAAAAATAAAAAATAACAGTATTAGCTTTATCACAGAGCATATCTTCATCACCACTGTAGGGTGGTGTATTATCATTATGATGCCCATTTTAGAAATGAGTAAATCAAGGCTTAAGAGTTTACACAACTTATCAAAGGTAGTGAATTCAAAACTGGCAGCGTCTTCCCAGTTGTTCAGAATCATTACATGTTACACTCCTTCTCCATCCTGTAATGGTATCTGGTTTGAGTTCAATCTTCCTGTGAACTAAGATGAAGCTGTGCTAGATTATCTGATAAATTACCCATATTAATAACTTTCTCTGTTACACCTGCTAGGTGACATATGTACAGATTAACCAGGGACCATCATCTCTGAACCAACAAAGGACTCATGATGGGATTCCCAGGCCTTGCAGCTGCTAGGTCAAGGGTGAGATTCAAGATGGGCAGAGCTTAAACACATCTCTCAAATACGTGCACTGCTAGCACACAAACAGCTACTCAACTTAAGAAGCTACAGCACTTTCTAGTGCAAGCCTCAAATCTGCATGTTTCTAGATGTCACAAAGCCCTGTCGTAATATCACAGAATGACAAAGGAAAAAGGCTCACCTTTTGGAGTCAGAGAGCCCCAGGTCTACTAGCTGAGTAAACCTGGGTGGATATTCTGCCTCTATGAGCTTCTAATATACTAAATGACCTTCAGTAAAATGGGAATAACATTAGCAACTTCAGAGGGATGTTACAGGTATAGAGGGAGTGCCTGGCCTGTAGTCGAAACAAATTAGCCCAGAGACAGAATAAAAGAGCTTGGGAGACAGTGAGGCTGATTTCAATAATCAGGGTAGTCTACACCAGAGCAGAAAGACAGAAATCAGAGATTAACTGGACTCTAAATGCCTCCCAAATCTGTGAGACCCATGCCCCACTGACAGCTCAATGCCCTATTATGGCAAAAGCCCTAAAGCCCTAGACTGACTGATCTGACCTCTGACTCCACTCTGCCAGGCCACCTGGCAGCTGCTGCTAGAAGTACCCTTTCAGAAAGGCTCCTGATTGAGCCAAGTGGTAGAGTGATATCACACACCATCTCTTACCCTCTGAGCACCATGAGGTTGCCTGGGTAACAGTAAGCTATTCTTGGCCCTCTCTATGGGATCCCAACTTCTCTACCCATATCCCATGGGCTCCCTTTGGTCTCACATTCTGTACCCCATGCTGAAACCTCTTCCTCCTGCCTCACTAGATCAGAGAGGAAATGAGAAGAGAAGGAACTGGCCATGCAGCTGTGCCTTAGCATTTTATTTCCTTATCATCGTATTTCCTTAGTTACGGCACATTTCCATTTATGGAGTTCTTTCCCTTATAAAATCTCCCAGTGTTCACTTCTAATCTACTAAATAATTCCTCTGGCCTCTTCTTGTTTTTGCCCTTTAAATATATGTGGATGGTTCATTCGCCACATTCCCCATTCAGTTATTAATGGCCCACAAAAACTCACTAGCAGCAATCATTTACTGATTAATCTACACAACAATCCAGAAAGACAGGTAGTATTAATCCTTAGTCCTGCAGGGAGAAACCAAGGGGAAAAGGCAGGTTAACTCAGTTGCCCAAGGTCAGTGGCTAAACAAGATTATAAGCAGGACTATCCTGTCCTGTTTTTCTATAAACACTTCCCACAGTGCTGTTGTCCTCTTTTAAAAATCAACATTGTCTATGCAGCTTGATAATTTTTGTGCTGAAATTCCATTGACACAGACTAGTTTAAAATTGTCAAAATTTACTCAGCAATAATTTTAACTGCTAATAGTTCATGAATAAAATTTGCTAAAATAAAGAGATTATTGTACTTGAAATTTTACAGAGGCAAAAAAATAGAAGTGAAAAGATCTGGATTTAGAACCAACTCTGCCACTATGAAACTGAGAAAATCACTTAACTTCTCTACATCTCTGTGTCATCTGTAAAAATGAGATTATGCTAAATGGTATTTAAAATATCTTGCTGTTTTAAATAACATGATTGAGTGCTCACTAAAACAGCACAAAATATAAATGCTCCAACATCCAATGCTGCCAAGACCAGGGTAAAACTGGTAGCCATACATTTATTCACTGCAAGTGAAGCATACAGCCTCAGTGCCCTTGGAAAGCATCATGCCAACATGCAGCAAAAACCATAAAGAATTTCAGATCCTTTGACTTAGCAACTTAAATATAGCATTTTTTCCTAAGAAATAAATCAATGGAAACAAAACGACATACACAAACAAAAACACACATTTCAGTGCTAGCTACCAGAGGAAAAATTGACATCAGTTTAAATGCTTATTTTTAGAGAGATGTCTTATTAAAGAAAGGCATAGCAAACCGTGTGAATGCCTTGCTGCTATTAAAAAGGATAAATATGAAAATTATGCAAAAACATTTCAATTCTTACCAATAAATACTATTAAATGTAAACAGCCAAAAGTCAAGGAGCAGATATGTACTCAGATGTCAACCATATATATGAATAGATAAGCAAAGTCACATGAAAAATCAAAATAATTATGTTATTAGTTAAGTTTATTGCTTACAATTCTAAAATATCATCTTTCCATTAACACATACATCTTATCATTTAATCAAACATTAAAAAAAATTTCAAACCCTACTTTGGTTTGATGGAAAACAAGACTGCAAAGTTTTTGCCTAAATCTCCCAAGTTATTTTTGTTGGCTGACATATTATTGACGCTGTAATGTTCCCAGAGTGATGTCTGCTCTTTACTATATAATTCTTTACATCTTTAGAGATTCTAAAATCTGAGAACACTTGCACTTCTTTCCCTTTGAAAGTGGAACCAGGATCCAACATTTTACGGTAACTCTGACCTGTGAGTGCTTCCATAACACCCAGAAAGTTACTATTATCCTTTTTACAGGACATGGCAATTTCATATCCCAGTTTTCGGTTTACAGTAATACATCTGATGTTTTCAGGGGCCTTAGAACACCCTCCAGCTCACTTAGAAAATCTGCTCCCAAGTAGCACTGTGCTATAGGAACTTTGCTTCATGGAAGGACTTTTATATTCCCCTTCATTTTTAGAAGTGTTCTCTTACTAGTAGGTCATTTGTATATCTTTGCTTATAATATCTGGGAAAGATTGCAGAGCCAATGAATTAAAAATATGATTCTAGGTCTCCTGTGTGCCAATGCATGCCCTCATTAAAGCAGAATGAGTGAGATGAGATCGGTTTCAAAGCTTTCCATCCCTTTGCCCCAGAGCCGCCAAGGCCAGGCACTGAAAGGATGCACAGTAAAATTAAATATCTAAAAATTCATCTTTAATTAACAGAATTGGATTAAAGCTAGACACCACCGCATATCATACGAGAAATGGCTGAGCTGGCTTCCAAGTGCTCTAATTCAATTAGGACGCAGTGAGTGACACTCGGACGGGAAAGGTTAATTGGGGCCGCCAGAACGCAATCATTCCTTACCTAACCAGTCATTAAACTTCTTAACCTCTGAGGGCAGTCCCAGCTCGGTGAAATCGCCTGTGTGGAGAAGGATGTCCCCATAAGGCATCTGGATACCATCTGTTCTGGAGTGTGTGTCTGAGATGCAGACAAACCGCGTGTGGCCCGCTGGTTTTGGAGTGTCATATGGGATGGGGTCGACCCTAAAGTAGACATAACAGATCCCATAACAGTTAAACATATTAGAACCCTTGAAATTGTCATCACACATACATATTTATTGTTATTTGTGAACACATCTAGACAAACTGATGCAAAGGCAGAAGGGCCCATTGTAATAAGGGACACTTCTGGGTGTAAAGGAGACAGCATCACCCATCTACAAAACCACTGGGCAAATTCAAAAAGACTTACTTACCTGGTAGGAAAATTAAAAGGAAAGAATATCTTACATATAGAGTTGAAATAACCCAGGAAACAGATAGAGTGATTAATGGTGAAGTTTAGGGATATTGAACCCCAACTGGGGAAGCAAAATTATGCTATTTCTCTCTCATCATGCTCCAATTGATCCCACTACTCATTAGGAAATGGATAACTAATTTATTCCTTCTTAAACATGCATAACTTAAGCAATGAACTAATTTACAGAGAGCGGTCTGCACATGCTCTGCCAACTGAGATGTGAAGAGACAGCACTTATATTTAATTTCCTTTCCACAACCATTCAACACCTGTATCTTCTTGTTTTTGCTAAGAGATTCACAAATCAAACTGTAGGGAGAGAAGGTGATGCCAAAATAACAGGGCTTTGAAAAAGGGAAAAAAAGATGCTGGATGTTAAAAGAACTTTGTCAAACTCATTTTGACCACGATGAATTATTTGCAGTCCCAGTTATACCTGACGTTACTAGAAATGCTCAAGTGCCTTGGGCAAAGAATATATTCAGTGCAAATATTAAGCCTTTTAATGGGATGTACATATCTACATATGCATTAATATATGTATAGTTTTAGAGACCTTAAGCACTATGAAACTACACCAGGGCATAAGAATCAAAAGGCAAAATGATCAACCCGAAGCAAAGAAAGTGAAACAGAACATTCTCATTTAATTGAGTGTAACAAAGTGTACTAAATAAACTTGGTAAAGAAATGCAAATCTGACTCTTCAAGCATACAGTTTTAATTATTTAAGGGGTTTGTTGCAGAGTTAAGGAAGCTTTAACTATATTAACTCTACACTGACAGCTTCCTTTCTCTGTAGGAATGTACACTTATTTTTGGACGCAAAGAGAAGGTCACAAGAGAAACAAATATGAAGTGCAGAGATTAGAGTGTGAAACGTTAAATAAGGAACAATATTTCATATCCCAGCCTCAACCCTTGGTAGTTAACATGCAGCAGTGAACACACTGAAAGCTCCACATAAGACTCCCTAAACATGTTGCCTCTACAGGCTTTGTTTAAGTTGTTTTCTCTTTTCCTTAACAATGACAATTTCCGTGAGGGAAATAGAAGACATCAGTGTGCAACCTGGATAGTCTCACATTTCTTCAATAACTAACCTTTTTGTTTCCTCTTACCTGTGTCGGAGAAGAAGGAAAGCAAGAGGGGCAAGAAGAAGCAATGGCGGAAGACGGGGGTGGAGGGAGAAAGGAACTATGAACTGGTGATGACAGTGGGTCTAATTGGAAGCCCAAAAGGAAAGTTTAACTTCTGCAAAAAATTAATGGATTTTACCTGACAGAAATGTTAGAAATTAATATGCTGTTACAACATAGAAAATTCACTAATCCACTGAGATCTCATCAGTAACCTGGAAACCCTCCTCCTTAGAGCCAATGTTGCTTTTTTAGATGTAAAAATGTTTGATGTCTTCCTTTCCATCACTGAGACTTGGTTATACTCAGTCTCAGTGCTTACAATCTTAACAACATTTTATGTCTTCGAAAAGTAGTTTTCCCGGTGAATGACTGATTGTTCCCTGCTGAGGCTGACCCTCTCTCTCTCAAAGTGGTAAGTAATATTCCTATACCAACAGTTAAATGCTCGTTAGAATGGGACTGTTTGCATTTATACTTAATGTACCAACATTTGAATGAAAATGTAATAAATCAACCAATGTATCTCTAAATATATGAATAAATGTAATATCTATCTATTCTAGTGTTTCTTTGTTTTCTTTCATCACAATACTAACATAGAGAAGCCAGTTTAACACGCCAAAAAAAGACCACCCCAGTGCTCTTTTTCTGTAAATCAGCTAAGCTACAGACCCAGCTACTGCATCAAAATCCTTTGGGAAGCCATCTCAGCTTATCAGAGAGACATCATTGTCATCATTTTGAATTAGACTGGAAGTAGCACAGATGTAAACCTCTTGCTGTAAACAGGTCCCTGTTCTATGAATCTACCCACTTTAGAGTAGCCAGTCATCACATGGTACACAATTGATTCCCCATCTTGGCTCCATACTGAGCAATAAATTTTCTGACATTATGGGGAACACCAGGCAAATTCTGAATCACTTCAAGCTCTTTCCCCACCTCTCAACTCCTTCAGAGAAACATTTAAACATCCAAAGGCCAAGGAACAGTAGAGTGGAGGGGGCTCAGTAAAAAGGAGAAAAGTGTTTCTTCTCAGCTTTGAGCTAAAATAATAAGTATTTCTTCTAAGCTTTGAGTCCAAAGTAGACAGCAAGGCAAACAAAGAAGGCTCGTCCATCAACACCACCACCATGATGCCACCAAAGAGAAACTATCTGTAGATATTAGGGAGAACGCACAGAGGATTGATTCAAAGCAGGGAATGGGGGAAGTGAGGTGCATATAGATGCATATGAAAATTTATATAGATCCCCTCACCCAGAAGCACTAAGAATCTTTGTTTTCCATAGGACTAAGTACAAAGCAAGAGATAGTATCAGAAGAGAAGCCAGTTTAACACGCCAAAACTACTCCGTAAGACAGTATGACAAATATCACCTGGAGCTAATAGGAAGAAGACATTCCCTGCCTCCCCTCCCCCAACCACAGGCATCCAGAGTTGAAAATAAGACCTCTAGTAGAGTGGACAAATTCCAGTGGAGAGCATTAAAACTGAGACCACCCTCAGGAAACTACTCTTCCCAAATTCAGCATTTGATAAACACCTTGAAAAGTGAAGACAGCCAAGCATTTTCACTATAAAAGTACATCAATATCTGACTGCTATTGGAAGATCCTATCCGATCATGTTGTGTGAAGAGCTTCACACTACATTTTCATCCTTAGTTTACAACTTTACCATTTGCTGTTTGTGCTGCTGGGTTTTCAAATGACATAACATTTCCCCCAAGGCATCATGTCAAATATCCTAGCAAGTGAATATCTTACCATGGCAATCTAAACCCCAGAGCCAGATTCAAATATTAGAGCGAGATTTGCACATGTTTGAGTACACCTGGGGGAAAACAAGATGACATGGGAAGATGAGAAGAAAACACAGCAACATAAAATCCCAGAGCAGGACAAAACCTTATGGGGCATCTGGTTCAACGCTTTACATGATGCCCGAATCTCCTCTATCCCTTCTCTCTAGATGATATAATGTTCTGTGTTTGGTTGGTTGGTTTTTTGTTTGTTTGTTTGTTTGAGACAGGATCTCATTCTGTCATCCAGATTGGAGTACAGTGGTGCAATCATAGCCTACTGCATCCTTGGCCTCCCAAACTCAAGCGATCCTCCCACCACAGCTTCCAGAATAGCTGGGATTATAGGCACAGGCCACTGCGCCCAGCTTATTTTTCTTGTTATTATTAGTAGTACAGATGAGGTCTTGATATGCTGCCCAAGCTAGTCTTGAACTCCTGGACTCAAGTAATCTTCCCACCTTTGCCTCCTAAAGTGCTGAGATTAAAGGCATGAGCCAGCCCACCTGCTCTAAATTTTCATTTCAAGATTTCCAGAGAAGGAGAGCTCCTTCTTCCCCCTGTGCAACCCATCCTGGTTTTTGATAGCTTTACTTGTTAGAAAGTCAGATTCTGTCCCTCTAAGAAAGCTGAGCATGGTCCGAAGACTTTGGCCTGGAACCTGAAGACTGAACAATAATTTTAACTTAGTCATTGGCTTTGAGAAACTTCCTTGATTCCTTTAAGCTTCATTTTTTCTCATCTGTAAAATGGGAATAATAATGCCTAATCTGCTATTTGCTATGAGGATATAAACTATCAAGTACATTTGACACACAACAAATGCTCCAAAAATACAGCAGCAGAATAGTATAAGGGTGAAGGATGTTTGGCTGTAGAGCCAGACTGCCTGGCTCTGAAATCCACTCAACTTATTAACATGCAAGTCCAAGCAAATGGCTTAACCCTTGTGCCTTGGTTCCCCCATCAGTAAAACGGATATAAATATAGTACCTATCTCCTAAGACTTTTACGAGAATAAAAAACGATAATGTACTCAAAGCATTTAGAACAGTATCTGACACAAAGTAGATACCCAATAAATGTTAGTTGTTGTTGTTGTTTTTACAAGCAACTAATAGTATTTTTACTAGTAGTAGTAGTAGTAGTATCATTTAACTTCTCTGATCTCCATCTCTTTGTCTGTTATAGGGAGATAACAACAGCTACCACTCAGGGACTTTGTGAAAATTAAAAGAAATCATGTACACAACACGCAGCATATGCTGGGAGCAGAATCCATGGTCTTTAATATATTTGTGTCCTGCTTGTCCCTCCTCCTTAATCCTAGTTCTGTCCTCTGAAATCACAAAAAAGTAAGAATCCAGTCCCTTTTCCATTGGACAGTTCTTCAACTATTTAAAAACAATCTATTATAATCCCCTGAAATCATCTCCACTCTAGTTGAGTAGCTACAGTTTCTTCCATTTTTCCTTGTGTGACAGGATGGCTAATGTTCTCAGAATTTAGGTGATTTCCTCCTAGATACAATTTCACTGGTGAGAACACCTCCCTTTGTAGTGTCAGAATTCATGGTCTGTGTGAATTCATGGACCAATGAGCTGTTCATCAAAGACAGGTGCTATTCCAGGCCATGGGAAGGTGGCAGTGCTGAATAAAATGGCAGATTTTTCTAGAGAAGGCCTAAGCTATCATGTTAAACCGTTTTCCAATTAACTCTCCAAGTTTTATGCCAAGCTTCAAATCTTGTTCTTAAAGCCTTATCATCAAACGCTTACATATCTCACTGCA